TTTTGAATGGTGATATGATGGGAAATGTGTGGTTAAAAAAGAAAAAAAAATTATTGATGTGATGGAAAATATTATTTTATTGAAAAATGTGTGGTTGAAAATGAGAATTGATTTACTGTAGAAAAATCTAATCCCTCCCAAATAGGGTCCTAATAAGTTGTCTTGATTCTTGAACTAATTAGCAACTACCTATATGCAAAATATAATATATTTTTTTGAAATATTAAGGTCATGTTCTCTTTGTCGTTTTTAAGCCGTTTTCTGTTTTCAATTTTTCAAAACAGCGAAAACGCGTTCTCTATCTTATTTTCGAAAACGCATTTTCGAAAATGGAAAAAAAAAACAACCGAAAACACAAAATGGCTAAAACATCGTTTTGGAAAATATAACCACAAAACAACGAAATTCACAAAACACGGGAAACAATATCTCCCTCTCTCAACTCTCTCCCTTTCCCTGTAAATCGATCTCCTCTCACAAACCCACAACAAAAAAATGAAAACAGATCGTGTTGCCAAGTCGAAGGATTCTTCAAATCAAGGTTTCGCGACGGGCAGTTTGAATCAAGGTTTCGCATCTTCAAATCAAGGTTTTGTTTGTTTGCTTGTGATGTTCTTTGATTATTTGCTTTCTATTCCATGTCATAGTTGTTGCGTCGGAATTGTCCGATATCGCCTTTGTTTTTTTATTTGTTTGGTGTGAAAATTGAGGCTGGTTGGATAATAGTTGGGGCGGTCAATTCGCATCGCAGGGGGAAGGGTAGATGGTGGTGGAGGTGGAATTGCAGGTTGAATTCGTAGGGGGAAGTGGAGGTGGAGGTGGAGGTGGAATTGATAGAATGGTTTCTGACCTTTGGGAGCAATTGCTGGGCAAGGCTGTGATGTTACCTGTGTCTTGCTATGTTGAGCTCAAATAGAACAAATGTCTCCCATTGGTCTAGTTTTTGAGCAATTAATTAGAGGAGGAATTACATGATTCACTATTCCAAGTAAAAGAGTAGCAAAGTAGTCCAAGAGAGGGCCAATGGCAGAACAGTTGGTACAAAAACGGGAATTCTAATCAGCCGGTCTTCAACATAAGCAGTCAACGAACAATGCAGTTCCTACACTTCAGGTGCATTTCCGTAATTTTGCGTTGCTTGTTGACCATATGTCTGAATATCTGAATTCTGCAATAGAAAATTTACGAATTTTGATTTTTTTTTTTTTCAAAATTAGGATTTTGGATACTATAATGGAGGGGGTGAGGACTCGAGAATGTATAGGAGCGTGCAGGCGCATAGGACTTATAGTGGAAGCAGCGATTTGTTTGCTGAGCCATTGACGCCGCCAGTACATTCACGGCCAGGTAGTCAGAGGAGGAATGTGGAGGAACAGGCTTCACAAAAAGAGTATAGCTCGGGGCTCTTGGATCTGCATTCTCTCGACACCGAGCTACTTACCTCGGAA